TGGTGAAATCAAACGGGAAATTTCGTGAAAAAATCCATCATTGTTTCATCTTGATCCACGTATCTCTATTTATGAAAAGAAGGTACAAAAGATTATCCATTTGCAGAAAATAGCAAATCAAATGCCAGATGCATTTACGGATTTGAAAAGGATAACGAAATAACATATCCCTGCAGAGAATATTTCAATCCGTATTGATGTCTCTGTTGGACAATCTTCTAGTGTCATAGCTAATGAGTTAAAAACACACCTAAAGTGTGGCATACCATTGGCTTCTAAGGATTGAAATTCTAGAAAAAGAAAAATAAATGATCAAGATGACACTACGAATGAGTCTCATAAAGAAACCCATGATTTAACTAATTCTGAATTTCATGTGGAAATCAATAAGCCTGAGAGACTCAAGAAAATAAGGAACTAACAGTAAACCCAATCGATATTCAGACAGATTCGAATCGATTGAATATAGTTGTGAATTATGTCTTTGCATATAATGTTGTATCTAGCATTATGCAAGATAATGAAGATCTTGAATCTCAATTCGTTGGAGAATGTCGACAAAGACGTGATTGACCAAAATGGCAAGAAGCAATCCAATCTGAGTTGGATTCACTTGCGAAACGTGAAATTTTTGGATCTGTAGTCCAAACACCTAATGGTGTTAAACATATTGGCTATAAATGGGTCTTTGTACGCAAAAGGAATGAGAAAAAATGAGGTACAAAGATATAAGGCATGCCTTGTTGCACAAGGATTTTCACAAAGGCCTGGTGTCGATTATGAAGAGACGTATTCTCCTGTTATGGATGCTATAATGTTCCGTTATCTCATTAGTCTTGCTGTCCATGAAAAGCTTGACATGCATTTAATGGATGTGGTTACAACTTAACTTTACGGCTCACTTGATATTGAGATATACATGAAAATTTTTGAGGTATTTAAAATGCCTGACGCATATAATTCAAAATTACGAGAAATGATTTCAATCAAATTGCAAAGATCTTTGTATGGTCTAAAGCAATAAAAAAGAATGTGGTATAACCACCTTAATGAGTATTTATTAAAGGAAGGTTATATAAATGATTCCATTTGTCCATGTGTTTTCATAAAGAAAATAACATCGGAGTTTGTTGTACTTGTTGTATGTGTTGATGACATAAACCTTATTGGAACTCCTACAGAACTCCAAAAGACAATTGATTATTTAAAGAAGGAATTCGAGATGAAAGATCTCGGAAAGATAAAATTATGTCTTGGTTTGCAAATTGAACATTTGGCAAACGAGACTTTTGTTCATCAATCTGCCTACATAGAAAAGGTATTGAAACAGTTTTACATGGATGGAGCACATCCATTAAGTACTCCAATGATTGTTCGATCACTTGATGTGAATAAGGACCCGTTCCGACCTCAAGAAAAGAATGAAGAACTTCTTGGTCCTGAAGTACCATATCTTAGTGCAATTGGTGCACTAATGTATCTTGTTAACACTACAAGGCCTGACATAACTTTTTCAGTTAATGTCTTAGCAAGATATAATTTTGCTCCTACAAGGAGATATTGGAATGGAATTAAACTCATATTGAGATATTGTTGGTTATGCCGATACTGGGTATTTATCTGATCCACGCAAGGGTCGATCTCAAACTGGCTATGTGTTTACATGTGGAAGCACTGCAATATCTTGGCGATCGACTAAACAATCAATCATGGCTACTTCATCTAATCATGCTGAGATAATTGCTATTCATGAAGCAAGTCGAGAATGTGTATGGTTGAGGTCTATAATACACCTTATTCGGGACAAATGTGGTTTGAAGTGTGACAAACTAGCCACAATTTTGTATGAAGACAATGCAACATGCATAACCCAATTGAAGGGAGGATTCATAAAAGGAGATAGGAGAAAACACATTTCACCAAAGTTATTTTTACATATGACCTTCAAAAGAATATTGATATCAATGTGCAACAAATCCGTTCAAGTGATAATATGGCTGATTTGTTCACCAAATCTCTACCGACGTCAACCTTCAAGAAACTAATGCACAAGATTGGGATGTGAAGGCTCAAGGATGTGAATTTATGCTCTTATCAGGGGAAGTTAATACGCGGCTCTTTTTCCCTTATAAAATTTTGTCCCACTGAATTTTTCTTGCAAGGATTTTAATTAGGCAACCAAAACGCGTATTTCTAAACATGTGTACTCTTATCTATAAGGTTTTTTTTTCTAATAAAGTTTTAACTAGACCCATTATCTATGGACATCCAAGGGGGAGTATTATAAGAAATTATGGTTGATGTCTATCTTCCTCCATGATCTTTCTCTCAAATGCTTAATGACATATTCAATGACATATTTCTTCATTTTCCATGCCTATATAAAGGCATTGTGATAGATGGAAAGAACACACAATTGAAGAAGAAATAAGAATCTCTAATCTCTTTCTCTCTATATCTCTTGGCTTATTTTTTCTTATTCCATATTGTTACTTTGATTTATATTTTATAACAAAAAAATATTTATTTACTATACCTATCCTTACTTCTCGTTACTTACTAAGTCTGAAACTGATTATAAGTCTACGACACATTTCAAATAGCTTTTGATTCCTGGAGTAATTTATGGTCGGAGAATAAGTGTTCGATGGAGAAAATGAAGGAAGCGATAATAATAAATTAAAAGTAAGTGGTGGAGAAAATTCTGTATTTGAAAGTTGACTTGACCCAGATTTTTCCTCGTGTCAATTACTCCATTTTAAAAATAAAAACATTGTATGTGGCTTATATTTTACTCAATAAATAGTACTGCAATTATATAAATTTCGACATATCTTTTAGTTTTTCTGTGAAATTCAGACCAAACAGTAAATCACAAAAAAATAAAGGAAATAATATCTTGAAACAAATTACCGATATTTTATAGTTGTACTCCCTCCGTTCACTTTTACTTATTCACTACACTAAAAATATATTTTTACTTTTACTTGTTCACATACTTCATTTTTTTTTTTTAAAGGGAGTGCAAAGTAAAAAATGAATAACTAAAAATGAACTAAGAGAGTAATATTTTTCAGTAGTACTTAATTAATGTCTTATTAATATATGATGGGTCCATCCCATGTGAAAGGAAGACATCTTACTTTGGCTTTGAAATGTCAAGCCAACTAAAGAAATAGTAAGGAAAATTTTATGGCAAATATTTTCTTGGTTTCGCGATGAATATTTGACTCTTGCCAAGCTCATTACATCATTGATGACATCAATGAAGCAATCATAAACACTATAAATATATGCATTGCTCTCATTGTAAGACACACCAAACAAAGAGAAAGAGAGTGATTTACACATTAAAAGCAAAATACTATGTGAGAAAAAATAGAGAGTTTGAGCGGTATTGTAGTGAGGTAGAAAAATCAAAAGAGGGTTATTTCTTTTGAGTGTTTAATGGTCTTGGAGTATTTTACTAGGTACCACAAATTATAAAATCCTTGCTATAGCGAAAATCAATTGCTCCTCTCGGGCCGTAGTTTTTTCCTTATTTAGAAGGGGTTTTCACGTAAAAATCTGGTATTCTTGTTTCTCTTATTATTACTGTTAGTTACTGTATTTTAGTAATCCGCATTTATTACAGTCATATATCATGAATATTATTTTTGTGGGAATTAATTTTCCCAACAATATATTCATACAATGAAATACTCAAATTAAATTTCATTTTTGAAGAATTAGTTTACTTCCAAAAACACGTAGCTAAAAGCTTTTCGGATGGATGATGTAATCCAAGAACTAATTAACTTCCGGAACTTATCACTAGGGGTGTCAATGAATATTTAAAAAGTGACTGAACCGTATCGAACCGAACTGATTTTTAGGTTTCTTTTAATAAAACCTTAGGTTTTCATATAAATCTATAACCGTACTGATAATTAGGGTATGTTTTTATTTTATGAAAATAAATCGAAAAAATACCGAACCGTACCGAATAAATTTACATGTGAAAAATATATTTATATATTAAGTTTAAAAATAATAAAACATTAAATTTTTCCTTGGGTCTTGGAATTATGAAAACAGTTACAAGCCAACAAGTAATTAAACTCAAAATCCTAATTCTCAAACCTATTATGTTACTCCTATTGAAATTAAATTATTTTCAGCATATTCACTAGCAAGACACAAGGTATTGTAGCGATTATGAGTAGCAAGCTACAATGTATTAAATATGTTTCCTTTAGTATGATTTAGATTTATTTTTTTGAATATTTAATCTTCTATAGATTTTATTCTTGAGTCCAAGTTTTAGCTTGGTTAATATCTTTCCACTCGTGTGATTTATATATTTTTAGATTAATTTACTTAATTTCTTTTACGCTGTTATAGAGTAGTTGATGGATCTATACTCTAGTCTAGCCATCTTTTATATTTTCTTAATTCATCATCTTTTAAAATGTAAAAATATCTAGATAGTTTACTAAGTCTTATAAAAATACGTATGTTATTACATTCTACTTCTACTAGTGACTTTTACATGTTATTTAAAAAAAATACCGAAAATTAACCGAACCGTACCGATACCGAAGAGAAACCGATATGATTGAGACGGTTTCAAAAAGTCTAATTTTGGTTATATATAATAGAATAACCGAAAAATTGGTATGGTACAAATTTTACAAAATAACCAACCAAACCGAACAATTGACACCCCTGCTTACCACCAAGAGTACCTCCACCCTAGACTAGGCGCCCGTTTGGACATAAGAAGTTTTTCACTTTTTTCCGAAAAATTTTCACTTTTTTTCGAAATCAGTGTTTGGCCATAAAATTTTCAATTTTAACGAGATGAATTTTGAAATTTTTCAAAAATTTGAAAAACTTCAAAAAGTTATTTTTAAAAACTTTTCACTCAAATCACTCATCAAACTTAAAAAACAACCCAAAATTATATTCATGTCCAAACACAACTCTAATTTTCAAATATCATTTTCACTTAATGTTTTTTATATTGTTTTTGGAATTTTACCGTTCTTATTGCCAAACGCCCACTAGATGTATTAGTTGGCTAGTGAATTTTAAAACAAAAATGAATTTAATATGAAAAATAAAAGAACGACCATTGACTTGGTCAATTTGGCAAAAAGCTGTCACAATGGAAATTAAAGCGCTGTCGGAATTAACCCGGAACTGTCTCAGTTAATTATTTAGTCATGTAAGCTCTTCCTAGTGAAGTGAAATAGAGCTACCCCTTTGAATGTTTTTCAGTTTACTAAAATACCATAAAAAAAATGCTCTCGGCTCAATTGCATAGCCATATACAATTAAGTAATTTTCTCCATCTGCTGTTTGCACTCTTGATTATTTCGTGTCACTTAAAATGTGATGCAAGGAATACCATCAATGGAAGCAGTAAGTTAGTTGACAATGGAGAAACTCTCGTATCTACTGGAAAAAAGTTCGAAATGGGATTCTATTCTAATGACGGAGATCAGTTTAATAGATATGTTGGAATATGGTATTACAATTTGAGTCCCAAAACCATTGTATGGGTTGCAAATTTGAATAAGCCAATTCCAGTTTCAAGAATCAAGAATGAGGATATTTCTGTTGCTGTTGCCGAAGATGGTAACCTCAAAGTGTGGAATTCATATAATGCACACGCTTATTTCTCCACACAACTAGAAATTAGTGCTTCAAAAAGGAGAGTAGAGCTCTTGGATTCAGGGAACTTGGTTTTAGTTGATGAATCAGGAGCTAAACTATGGCAAAGTTTTCTGAATCCAACTGATACTTTTCTTCCTGGAATGAAAATGGATAGGGGCTTGAAGTTGACTGACTTCAGAAGTGGCTTCACATTTCAACTAGAGCAAGCAAACAACAAGAAATATGTCATACTTAAAGATGGTGGCATTTACTGGAAAGGGTCTGTAAGTACTTCTGGATCTTTCGGTTTCAGTGAAATGCCCGCGTATATCGCCAACATGTTATCCAATTTCACAGAGAATAACACTGTCGATTCCAGTTATGCCAACAGCATTTTCGAAAGGACTAGACTCTTAATGAACTCTTCCGGAGAAATACAATTCTACAGTTGGGATAAGGAGAGTAGTCAATGGTCTTTGATGTGGTTAGCGCCAAAAGATACATGCGATGTGTATAAAAAATGCGGGAAATTTGGCATTTGCAACAGCAACCATGTGTCATCATTATGCAAATGTTTGCCTGGATTTGAGCCTGATTCTCCAGAAAATTTACGAGCAGGAGAATTTTCAGGTGGTTGTTCGAGGATGTCAGTTAACTCTTGCGAAGAAGACAATGTAGGCAAACTTGACACGTTCTTGGATCTGAGGTCAATGAAATTTGCTAGTCCAGACCGGTTACATACTAACACTAATACCAGTGACGACTGCAGGAGACTTTGTTTACGCGATTGCCAGTGCCAAGCCTATACTTATGATAATTTTGTATGTGGGATTTGGTTGTCTATTCTCAAGAATCTCCAGGAGAACTATAGTGGTGGCTTCAACCTCTCTATCCGCGTTGCCACGTCCAATATTGGTATTTCATTTTTGCGATTTAACTTATGTACACACAGTATAAATAAGAAGCTGATGTTGACCACAAATTGTACTATATTTTTTTTCTTTCTATTTTTGGCTTTGCAGAAGCAACGGCGAGAGATTGCAAGCCTTGTGGCACAAACCTAATACCATATCCATTAAGCATCGGACCAGATTGTGGAGATCCTTTGTATTATAGTTTCTCATGTGATGATTTAGCTGGTCAAGTAAGTTTCCAGACATTGAATGGCAACTATACCGTTGTTAACTTTAATAAGGGAAACAGAACGTTTGTTATAGAAGCTGCACATAATGAGTCTGTTGGTAATTGTGATGACAAAGGGCCAGTAACAGAAATTTTTCGGCTCAACCAGTCGTCGCCTTTTAAGGCGATAGACTGGTGTTACAATGCCAAAAAGCATCTTACTTCAGAACCTTTAAGTCGAGGGAATGATTTAATATTGATCAGTTGGAAACCGCCATTGGAGCCAGTTTGTACTACTTCAGAAGACTGCATTGATTGGCCAAATTCAACTTGCAATATAACAGAACAAGGAGAGAGAAAATGTATATGCAAACCTGATTATAAATGGAATGGTTTGAGCTTAAATTGTACCTTAGTCTCAGGTGTGTATCACTAACTGTTTTCTTTTAACCATTTTGCCACCACTAGTCACTATTTTGCTCCCTCCTACCAAAGGTTTTTCTTCTTTTCATTTTTTTTTGGGCAAATATTTCATGTTTCATTTCTTTGATTTGCTTCAGAACTTGCAATACAAGTACCACTAAACAGAAAGCTGGCACCCTCGCGGAATCATGAGAGAGCCCTTGTTATTTCCATCTCTGTAATTCTCGGAGTTATAATTTTGTGTGCCACTAGTTATATAATTTACCTGAACAAAAGAGTAGCAAGTACAGGTAATTAACGATCGAGAAATCTTATCAGGCTTTTCTCAAGTTCAGGTGTTGGAGATAAATTATGACTAATTTCATTACTAATTGCTTAATTGGTTTGATTTTAGAAGCCAGAGAAATTGTTTTGGGGAATCCTATGGAGTACTTGCCTCGTAGAGGAAGTTTCGATGAAGATTTGATTACTGAAGATGATAAGAGACAGATTGATGTCCCTTTTTTCAGCTTGAATAGCATACTAGTTGCTACAGACAACTTCTCGAATGCAACTAAGCTCGGGCGAGGTGGATTTGGACCTGTTTATAAGGTTTTCGGTTACTTTCTTCTGCCTTTCTTTTGCTCCGTTAGTTGTTTTACCATTTGGATTCATTTATTCTCGTTATACAACAATCTTGTAAAACATTGTACATGCAGGGTAAGTTTCCTGAAGGTGCAGACATGGCAGTGAAAAGGTTGTCATGTCATTCCGGACAAGGTGTTGAAGAATTTAAAACTGAAGTAATGTTAATTGCCAAACTGCAGCACAGAAATTTAGTCAGGCTTCTTGGCTATTGTGTTGAGGGAAATGAAAAGATTTTATTGTATGAATATATGCCCAACAAAAGCTTGGATACGTTTATATTCGGTTAGTGTACCTCAAAACTATTTTTAATATAATGTATTATGCAAGTAGTTTTCGGATTGATTCTCTTAAGTTAACCTAATAAACTTTGCAAATAGATCATACATTCTGCCAATTATTGGACTGGAGGATTCGTTTTGAAATTATATTGGATATTGCTCGAGGGCTTCTTTATCTTCACCAAGACTCAAGGCTAAGGATCATTCATAGAGATTTAAAGACAAGCAACATATTGTTAGATGAAGAAATGAATGCCAAAATATCAGATTTTGGCTTGGCAAGGATTATTGAAGGCAAAAGTACAGAAGCTAATACTAACAGAGTTGTTGGAACTTAGTAAGTCTCTGAGTACTGTTTTCTGCTTTAATTTGGATAGCAAAATATCTAAAACTTGGTTCTACACCTTAGATTGGATACCTCTTTGGTGAAAAGAAGAATAAAACTTGCTATTATTTCACTATATGTTTACTTTCTCTGATGTCTCATTGTGTGGTTTTCACAATTCCTATTTTGGAACATTAAAAACAGTGGCTACATGTCACCGGAGTATGCGTTGGAAGGACTCTTTTCGATCAAGTCCGATGTATTTGCCTTTGGAGTTGTTGTACTCGAAATCATAAGTGGGAAGAGAAACATGGAATTTTTTGAAGATGTAAACCTCACAGGTTATGTAGGTACCGATAATTTCCCTCATTAATTGGTTCTGTTTAAATCCAGTACTGACTCAAATTATGAATCATAGGTATGGAGACTATGGATGAAAGACAAGGCAATAGACATAATAGATCAAACCATTGTAGAATCGTGCGATGACAAGGAAGTGATAAAGTGCGTAAATGTTGCACTTCTATGTGTGCAAGAAGATCAAGGTGATCGTCCCACAATGTCAAATGTAGTCCTTATGCTTGGAGGTGAAAGCATGACTCTTCCGCGACCAAATCAACCATCTTTTATTACGCGAAGAAACGCTGCTGCTGGTAGTACATCTTCTTCTTCTTCTAAGATGTACAGCACTTCCAACAAAGAGTTGACGATAACTCATGACGAAGAAGGCCGATGACATAGATGTAAATGCACGACGAATAAGTTAAACAGTTTTTAAAGAAATTATCTGCTGCAGCTTTTATTTTAACTCAATGTGAATCTTTCTTTCATTTAACTGTTTTGGCGCGCAGAATTAATAACTGATTGTATTGGTTCCCACAAGTGACAACGTATCACTAGAATTTATGGTTATCTTCTTTGCTTATCCACGCCTTTTTTTCTTCCTAATTTTGTTGGTGTAGGATTTGCCTAGCTAGGATATTACATATCAATATACCATTTTTTTAGGGACTTAGTGTCCTTACTGAGGTTCGCCCTACAGTCATCCAAGCTTGCACACATAGTAGCTTTATACCATATGTGATAGTTCAATAGAGTAGTGATATTATCTGCTTTGAGTCTAAGCCCACCTGCTTTAAAATCAGGTTATTGAAATCTAAGATGCTTTCAATATGACCAAACATGCTTTGTCAATATGAGATTTGTCTAAGATGTTACACGGAGTTTGCACAACAAGTTAGTATATACTTTCTTTTTTCTTAAAGAAAATGATCGACTACATAATAGTGGGACGAGCTCTGGCCAAGTTACAAGGTGAAGGAGTACTAAGATATTACTTTCTCTCTTAAAACTCAAAGTAAGGGACCTCCATTCCTCTTAGCTATGAACTAGAAAGTATAAAAGGACTCTTCCTTTTCTTTTTTCTTTTTTTGTTTGTTAATAAGCTTTAAATAAGGTCTAAATGTGGCAAAGACTTGGACCTCTTCATGTTGGATTTTGATGGCAACAATGTTGTTTCCTCACCTTAATATGTTTAAGAATAAAAAAGGGCAGCCCAATGGTGTAATGTAGGCAGCCTACCCTATATCCTGACACAATTATTAATGGTTTATTCGACGACTCGAACTCATAATCTATAAGTCACACGAAAACAACTTTACCATTACTCTAAAGCTTCCCTTCAAAAGAAAATCTATTTAATCAAAATTGATCAATATACAATTGTGTGGATTTTTTTTCTTTTTTCTTATCAAAGAGAGAACAAATTCTTCCGCCCTCTAAATCCAATGATGGTGTTCCCGACAACAGAAAACAGAAAACTTTCCTGCAACTTGAGCCAAGAGCATCACAACAACAATAACAAATACAGTGAAATTCTACAAGTGGGGTCTAGGGAGGGTAGTTTGTACGCAGACTTTATCTTTACCTTATGAAGTTAGAGATGTTATTTTCGAAAGACCTTGTAGACATATAAAAGTTATTGGGTCTAATCCATACAAAATTTAGATTAAATTCAATTGGGTTAAATAATTAATTTGGGCTTTACAGGTTAAATTAGTCCATTTTATTATTTTCGAGCCCAACGTTCATTTCATCTTAAGGCCCAGACTCATGCCATGTGTCAAGTGACATGGCATATCTCGTCAAACTGCAAGCCAAAAAGATGACGCCACGTATTAAATGATGTGGCAATCCAAGTCAAAAAGCAAGAACCAACCATAGGTCGCCAAATGGCTAAATGACATGGGCCAATCAGAATCAAGCAAGAGAATTCATTCCATCTTTTACAACTATAAATAGAGGGGTTACAAAACTCTCAAGACATTCAGAGTTGGAGAAGAACATTCCGCAATTGGTGAAGGCATCCACAAACAGAGAGATCAATCATTAAGTGCATAGTTCTTCAACAAAGGAGTGATCAACAGAGTTCTTCCCAGAGATCAACCCGTAACAATAAAGTATTGCTCGACGTTCTTGGTGATTAAATACATTACAAGGAGGTCTGCATCGTCCAACATTCGAGAAAGACGCTTCTCAAGCCCTCGAATCACGGAGAAATTTATAGAGGAGAATCAAGGGATACATAAAATTGTACTCACAAATATTTATCAATAAAATCTCTTTTTCTTCATATTATTTTTGTTGTAGTTTATTTTCCGGACTACGAAAAATTGCTGCGAACAAATTTTGGCACGCCCGGTGGGACCAATTCTTCCCTTCATCTCTTCCTCTTTCAAGTTGAAAATTGCAAACTTCATATCTACTGCTACAATGGCTTTCCGCAAGTGCGATGATGTTTTATGCAAAGATGCAACTGCTACCGCACCCACTGAGCTCAGTCATATTGGCCCAATCACTCGAAGCAAGTTCAATGCTAGTGGCTTGGATGGATCCGAATACTTTGCCTCCTTGGAGATGGCAAATAATAGAAAATCTCATATAACGTCCGCAACCGCAATCTCTTGGGGCAATACCCCATTCTCGCTATTTGACGAACTTTCTCAAACAGCCCCAAACCTTGTGGATTTGAGGATTTAGTGGATTCTCCAGTTTCAACGAAAGTCAACGCCTTGATGACTGACACAACTAACGTGGACGAAAAGTTTGCCATGATGGAAAAAACTATAGAAGTCTTGAAGAAATCTGTTGAAGACAAAGACCTTCAAATCGCTCAACTCATGAACAAATTGGAGGCCTATTCACCTGGAAAGTCAAGCCACGCCCCTCCTCGTTCACCTATCTTCACCTCGCAAAAAACGGTTGTTGGGGAATCCCTTGCCAAGTTCAGCATTCAGATGGAACAACAATCCACTTCGGTTGCGGTGTTATCTGTCCAACAATTGCAAGACATGATAACAAACACCATCAGCATCAGAGCTCAATACATCGGACCATCACAAAGTTCATTGTACTACTCTAAGCCTTATACTAAGAGGATTGATTGTCTAACTATGCTAACCAATTATCAACCACCAAAGGTGCATCAATTTGATGGCAAAGAAAACCCAAGGCAACATATTGCCCACTTTGTCAAGACTTGTAGCAATGCTGGAACGCATGGTGACCTTTAGGTAAAGCAGTGTGTTCGTTCGCTGAAAGGGAACGCATTTGACTGATATATTGACTTGGAGCCCGAGTCCATTGATAGTTGGGAGCAACTTGAGAAGGAATTTCTCAATCATTTTTACAGTACCCGAAGAACTGTAAGCATGATAGAGTTGACAGGAACCAAGCAAAGGAATGACGAGCCCGTGGTGGATTACATCAATCGTTGGAGGGCATTAAGTTTGGACTGCAAGGATCACCTTTCAGAAATATCTGCTATGGAGATGTGTATTCAGGGAATACACTGGGGCCTTTTGTACATCCTACAAGGGATCAAACCGCGAACTTTTGAAGAACTTGCAACGCGAGCTTACGACATGGAGTTAAGCATCGCAAGCCATGGAAAGGCATCTCCATTAGCATATCAGAAGGAGTTCAAGAAAAATGTTGCATCAAAGAACCAAACCAAAGAATCTATGGCTGTGAAAGCAACTTCTGTGAAAGTCACGACTAAGCAAAAGGTCAAGGAGGATAAGACCCCGAGTCAATATACCAAAGAAGAGAAACATCGTCCAACCTTGAAGGAATTGGAGGCCAATGTTTATCCGTTTCCAGATTCAGACGTACCCACGATGCTCGATGAATTGTTGGCCAAGAAAGTCATCGATCTCCCTGAATCAAAAAGGCCTGGAGAAATTGGTAAAGTTGGCGATCCGAAATACTACAAGTTTCATCGTGTCATTAGCCACCCTACAGAGAAATGCTTCGTCCTAAATGATAAAATCATGACCCTTGTAAGTGAAGGAAAAATCACCATAGACATGGATGAAACAACATAATCAAATCATGCAAGTATCGCGCTCAAGGAAAAGAAGTGTTCAAGGTTGCAGAACGTGTCAAGCACTGCCTTCTTACAATTTGGAAGTTTCGAGCCCGTTGAATTTGTTCTTCTAAGGAAAACTCTTGAAGGTTCACTAGAGCTAGACAATCACTCCAAAGACAAAGACGATGAGGGTTGGATTCTAGTCACTCACAAGAAGCGAAAACATGAGGCAGTTTTGAGGCTACGAATTCCTAAGGCAAGAGCGATGATGAGCAATGCGAATAGGCTACAACCACAGAGAAATATCAAATCTTCTACTAACAAGAAGATTAATAGTGCCTTATCACCAAAGTTCCGAAAGCCTATCACATTGCATGAATTCATTCCTGGAAAAATACTTCATGGAGGTCACATTGGTGCAACTCATGTATTTTCTAGTAGTGATGAAACAAAGGAAAGCAACAATGAGTTTGCTCCAATGAAAACATAAAAACATCATAATAATGGAAAAGTTGTCACATGTTGTGCAACAATTTCCTTCACATATGATGACTTTGTACTGGGGTCTAAGTCACATAAAAGACCTTTGTTCGTTGTAGAGTCCATTAGGGAACAATATATCAATCACATACTTGTTGATGATAGTTCGGCTATCAACATCATGCCGAAGATGGTGCTAAAAAAGATTGGGATCTCTATCGATGAGCTATCCAAAAGTAACCTAGCAATCCAAAGTTTCAACCAAGGAGGACAACGAGCCATAGGTATGATCCGTGTAGGACTATCCATTGGTGATATGAAGTCAAACACCTTGATTCATATCATAGATGCTAAAACATCATACAACCTACTGCTTGGACGTCCTTGGATTCATGAGAATGGAGTGGTATCATCTACTTTGCATTAATGTCTGAAGTACATAAGGGATGGAGAGATAGTCAAAATTGACACAGACATCAATACTTTCACTAAGACGGAGTCATACTTTGCAGATGCAAAATTCTACCTAGATTTTTGTGAACCGAGTGTGGAGAAACCATCATCAGTCGACGAAGTTGATGCCAAGTCAGAAGAAAAAAATGAGGCTCAATGGACTACCACCAAACTGCCTAAGAAGAGAACTGAAGAAGTCTCTATTAAGCTATCATCATCTAAAGGTGACATACAGACAAAGACTGATAAGGAGCATCTAGTTTTATGCTATGTTCCACGTGAGCGTCGAAAGAAAGGGTAACCTTTGTTACACGAATGTACTCCAAAGAAGCAAATGAGTCACAAAGATATCCAACATTTGAAGGAGCATATGACTGTCCCAGTTGCACAAATCCCATACATGACTTGTGAGTCTACTAAAGGCAATCTCCAAGCTGATAAAATAAAAGGGCACTATGATCCTAAGGCCTTCATACTGCTTGAAAAGTATGGTTATGACTTTTCCAATATATCAAGACTAGAAGAACTCAAAGACGAAGTCACTGGTGAAAAGATACATGGGCTCAATGAGTCCCGATTGAAGTTGAGAAAGCAAGGGCACTACGTCGCCACTCCAAAGTTTGGGTTGGGGTTCAGTTT